GAAAAGAAAGAGGGGAGGACAGGTGAGGAATGAGTTATGAGACAGGTAACATAAGATTTAAGGTTTTACACGAAGAAATCCTTTTCCCACAGCGGTCCATCATAGCTGCTGCAGGAACTTAGCAGCCCATTTTGGCAATATGGAAAGGGTACCCAGGGAACCCAGTGCCTCCTGGATGCTTGTGTTTTACAAAAGGATGTTTTACAGAGATTAGAGAATTGGCTGTGTTTTGAATGCTAATACGTAAGGTATCAGGGAATACCTGATACTCATCCCTGGGTTTTTCGTTTGTTTGGTTGGTTTTTTTTTTTTTTTTTGGTGTGTTTTTTTTTTTTTTTTTTTTTTTTTGGTAAATGCAATGTAATCTAATGTATACCAACAATGAATCTTGTGAAAATACCGGATTAACTATATTTGACCAGCTCTAAACTATTTACTCTCATTGGGGAACAGAAGAACAAAGCCACCTCATTAGCATTTGTTTGAAAGAGTCAACATCCCGAGTCAGATATTTCATTTCTATACAAACAAACTATGAAATGTCATTCCTTTGTTTCCCGAGTGCACTCTGTGCTCAGGCTGGGTGAGATACATAAATCAGGAAAGAAGAGCTCACACTGGAGAAACTGGGAGTGCTAAAATGCAAGGCCAGCTATTCAGCTGGCGTAAATCAGCTTCAACGGCTGCCAGTCCTGCTGGCAGGTTTCAACACTCGGAACCATCCCATTGCAACAAAAGTCCTGTCAGCACATCCCCCCTCCATTCTTGTGGGCCATGAAAAACACCCTGGTCACAGTCAGCCCCCTTGCAGGAAGTGCATAAATCGTGTCATTTTGATTTGCAGATTATTTTTGAGCTACGCTTTGTAATATCCTGGTCAGTTCAGCAAGGTATAGGGGCATCGTGATAAATGCAAAGCTGAATGAGTAATGTCTACCTTCCAGCCTTCATTCAGTCTTCTCCAGCATAAGGCTGTGAAAGGAAATTGCTAGTTTTCCATGAAGAATGAGTTAATATATAACCGTAATTTGTCCTCTGGCAGCACCTTTTAGGATCTGGCGTAGGCAGATTTAGGCAGAGGCAAAAGCAGAGGGGGTTGTGTCTGGGCTCCCTTGCACAGAGCAGAGCCCGTGTCAGAGCTTTTGGTGTCCTTGTTCCCCAGCTCAACTGCAGCCAGTACCGAATGTCCACGCAGAAGGATGGCACACAGCTGATGGCCTGCACGATGATCTACGATCCCGTCTGCGGCACCGACGGTGTCACTTACGCCAGCGAGTGTACGCTGTGTGCCCACAACATGTAAGTACCTCCCTGGGGGTGGATGGATCCCTGAGTGCCAAGTGAAATTCAAGGACTCTCTATGAAACCCTGTGCTGGAGGGGTCCTGTCTGTCTGCCCGCATTTTCCTGCTTCCTTTATTGGTGTTTAATATAGGTGTTCAATCCCAGAGCTCCACAAAGGGGGGTGCGTCAACCATGGGCACATGTCTGACCCACAAGGGCACATTCTTGGTAGTGCTGTGCAGGCAGCGCTAACTAAGGTGGTTGATCTGAAAATCCTGTGGCTCCATGGGAGTGAGGTTTGTTCTTGCTCTGTGGTTGTACTGGGGAAGGTCGTGGTTAACAATGGTCTCTCCTTCCTCCAGGGAGCATCGGACCAACCTTGGCAAAAGAAAGAACGGACGCTGTGAAGAGGACATTACAAGAGTGAGTGAGAAAGGATGGGAACAAAGGGTGAAGTCCAGTGCCTGTTATGCTCATGAGGGACTGTTTTCACTCTGTTTTACAAACTGGGGGAGTGGTGGTGTACAGACCTGAGGAGATCCCTTGGGAATTTCAGACTGGTCATAAAACAGCCAACATCTGTCCCACTGCTGTGTAACAGTGTAGGAAAAGGCATGGCAGTGAGCAGAAACAGTACAAAATCACATCTGCCACCAGGAGGAAACTTTGAGTTGGTTATAATGATGTTACAACCACTTTCATTTCTCAGTGGGTGTCATTCCTTATGCTAGGGGGGCACAGTTTGCTCTCAGGCAGAGAGACTCATGTCTATCTTCTGTGTGCAGGAGCTCTGCAAGGGCTTCAAAGAAGTGTCTCCTGTATGCACCATGGAATATATGCCCCACTGTGGCTCTGATGGCAAAACATACAGCAATAGATGTATTTTCTGCAATGCCTACCTGTAAGTATAAGAGTAAAACCTTTTCTTTCATGGTCAGTTCCTGTACCAACTATGAATTCAGGGCTGTTTTCATGATGCCTTTTTGACTAACAGCTTATGGGTATATACTGGACATTTCCAGTCCACCATGAGTTGTGCAAGGAGATGGGCTTTTTGCATTTTAGGGGAAAATGCAAGGGGCCCATTTCTGTGATCTGTACCTGGCCTTCTGTTTGTTAACTTTAAAAGTATATTATTAATTTTCACCAGCACTCAATGTGTCCCACAAGCTCATGAGGGCATGTGGAAAGTACTTCATCAAACCAACTGGACAGTATCAAATGTATGAAACCTTCACCTTTCCTTTAAAGATGATAATGAAAGGGAGTATTTGGGTTTTTAAGACTGTTCTTCATCTCCAGTCAATACTAAATTGTCACTTGGGCCAGTGAAATGAGGAATGTGAAATGAGGAATATGCTCTGTCTAATTCTCCTCTCCCCTTTTCTTACCAGGGAAAGCAGGACAACTCTCAATCTCATGAGTTTGGCTGAATGCTAAGTCTGTGCTGGAGTTCAGCCCAGGAAAACAAGCTCCCTTAAATGTGACTTGCCATGGGCTGGTCTTCCCTAGTAACATTTCTTCAGTTTGCCTTGTTTCCTTAGCTCCTGAGATACTTGTTCAATAAACTTGGCAAAGTTTCTCTGTCTTAATTGCATATTGCATCTGTTTTGCCCCGTCTCATCCCTGACATGGTACTTTGAGTGCCTGTGTATTTTTCTGTTGGTGTTCTCCTCTACCAAACAGTGTGAATGAAACCTTTCCTGCCACGTGTCAGTGCCATTCCTGCTCTGATGAGGGCTTGACCTCCCTGTGGAGCTCCCAGTCACTTCCTTACTTCTCAGAGTCTCCTTGTCAGTGTTAATCTTATCTAACTATATCTCTGTATGACCTGATCACAGACTCTGTCTTTACAGTCACTGCAAGGAGACATTCACCTTGAGAGCATGGTCCACCTCCTCCTTAGGGAAATGGTTTGGATGTGGGTGGTGATTTGCTCTCAAGAAGAGCACTTTTTTGCTTGGGCTGGAAAAGGAAATTGGCTACCTAGCCAAGAGTTGCCCCTGTCCCAGTTCCTGCTGCCTGTGCAGCCTGTCCCATGGAAGGGACAGCAGCTGCTGTCAGGAAAGGTGATTCCAATCTGTCTCCACTGAATTTGTCCTCAGTGTCAAGTGCTGTTATAGGATATAATCTACAGGAGGGGTATATTGAGCTGCAATCAGGGTTACAAACAGCAAAAGTGTCCACTCATGAAATATCTTAATTTATTAATGCAACAGAATATCTCCAGGGCTGGTGGGCAGTGATCACCTCTGAGATGGGGGACAGCCCTAGTACATCACTGAACTGCTTTCTAAAGACTTTTGAGAAGGAAAAGGATTCAGAGGTTCATTTGTGACCAGTTTTAACTGAATATATAAGAAGTCATAGGAAAACAATTCTGCCTCAGAGTTGTTTTGACTACTTTTCTGCGACCAAAGAGCTCATGACTTGGTGATACTATTGTCATTTTGGTGGTCTTTATGGATGGCAGGGAGGTAGGAAAACCTTGGGGCTGCCCTTCATCTGTTGGCAACACAGGTACAGCCACTGCCACTACCTCCACATGAGGTCACCAAAGCCATTGCAAGTCCAATATTTTAGGGTTCAGGGTTTCTTCTGGACTACAGCTAGTGCCTCCCCAGTTCAATGTCCCATTGTAGTTTACCAGAGAATAACACAATTATTTGGATCAGTTTGGAAAGTCACTCTGAATTGTCAGGCCAGAAGAATAGGCTGAAGGCAAATGTTCCCGACTTGGAGATACTGGGGCTATTGTACCAGAGAAGGAGGCCATAGTACCTCTGTGCCATTAGTGTCCATTTTCAAGATGATTTGTAACTAACAATAGCTTATTGTACTTTTCTTTGGTCTGCGTCCTAAAGTAAATGTTCCTTTAGTTTATATAACCTTTTTGCCATTTTCTGTTCAGGTGCTTTTGCAGAACATGCTGCTTCAGTCTTGTTTAAGTGTTACTGGGTTATCCTCAGGGATAAGACCTGAATATTTTTTTTTTGTGGACTTTGGCAGCCTTTAACTTGGACTGAGCTCTGACCACTGGCTTTTTCAAGCCTTCTCAAGCCTTTGCAGTAAAGCTGTCAAGGGCCAACTGAATGGCATTGGCTTGGCACACCCGTGCCAAAGCCTCCTCTGTGGAGCTCATTGTCTGATGACACCAAAAGCAAACAAGAATTCAAGGAGGCACAAAGTTGAGGATAAGTCAGAGCAATCCAGTGAAGCAGCCAAAGGGGTTATTAGACAGAGGTTTCCATGCAGTATTCACCAGTAGGTTTCATGTAGAAGCACATAATGGAATAAATCACTAAAACTGGGCCAGGAAATGGAAAAAGCCTGACATTGGAGTTTAAATATCCCCCAGGCTCAGGGGGTGTTTTATGAAGCAATATAACTATAAAAATAGGGCATCCTTCTCAGGGACAGTGTGGTTTTCTGTGCCTTGGATTTGTTTTTCAGCTGTTCCAGGGTTACTTACTGAGTGTTTGTTACTTAGATGATTTCTTTCTGCTTTGTGTTCGAAATGGCCTCAAGTTGCATCAAGGGAGCTTTAGATCTGATATTAGGAAAAATTTATTCATGGAAAGGGTTGTCAAGCATTGGAAGAGGCTGCTCAGGGAAGTGGTAGAGTCACCATCCCTGGAGGGATTTAAAAGACGTGTAGATGTGACACTTGAGGACATGGTTTAGTGGTGGCCGTGGCAGTGCTGGGGTCATGTTTGAACTTGATGATCCTGAAGATCTTTTCCAGTCCAAACATTTCAATGACAAGGAAGCAATGATCAGGCAAAGACAAACACATTCAAGAGGAAACATTGAATTTTTGTGGTTTAGGAGAGAGGTAGAACAATACCAAGTTTCAAGTGTCACTAACTTGAAAGGTGGTTCAGGTTACAGTTCACTGAAGTGGGTGCCTGCTTGGCCATAGATAGAGGAATGTTGGATAGATGGATAGATAGAGGTTACTGTGGTGGGAAACAGCAAGAAATCACAGAATTGCAAAATGGAAAGGATCACTGGAGGTCATCTAGTTCAACCTCTCTGCTCAGGCACGGTCCCCAATCATCTCATGAACTCAGTGCTTTCCAGACTGCAAATATATTCAGTAACCATCTCCAGGGTGCAGGTGACAGACACCCTGGTGCTGCTCAGCCTGCTGCTCCATCACTGCTCGGGTGCATAATGCTGCAGAGCCCTGAGGCTGACTTTCTTACTCACCTTGAGCAAAAGCCCGAGCAGCTTCAAAATGTTCAGATTTCTCTCAAAAGCCACTCAACAGTTATGCTAGGAAAGCTTGGTTTTTAGCTTGGAAAGAGACACTGAAAGAATCAGAAGCAAGCAGGTTTTAGTCCTGCTTCAGTGGACTCTTATTTTTGCACTCTTGCCGTGAATGGAAGCAGCTTTATATCCCCAGTCAAGGATGCAGCAAAGAAAAAAATAACTTTCCAGTCATTTTTGCATACAGCTGCAGCATCAGGCATCTCAAATTTAGTGCTGAAATGCAGCTGGTCCCACTCCACAGGCTGCAGCCCTTGGCTCTGGAGCTGGGAACAGAGCGGCTGAGCTGTGCCAAGGGTTGACAAACTTTGATGTGTTTCACACTGGTGGCAGTCCAGCCTCAGGATTTGTGACCTGTACATGTACCAGTACATATCACAGAGGCAATATTTTAATATAAATGTCCTCTTCCTTTCCTTGTTTGTCTGACTTATCTTTATAGCGTTATCAATGTTTTCTGAGTCTACAGTAATTTTTCTTATAAAACAAAGAGGGGGAAGAATTAGGTAAATCATTTAAATTTTGATTGATAAGTGGAATGTAGAAAACAATGCTTAGTCTTTTCATATTGAGCAGAGATATCTTTTTTCACCTTTTATCAGCACTTACCCATCTGTGACTTGAAAAACAAAACCCACAATTTTACTTGAGTGTGTCTGCACCCAAACTTAATTCAAAAACTTTATCAAAAAATTTATGCCTTTCAAAATTATGTCTGCTGATAATTTCCCTTGGTTTATCTTTTTTTTCATGTGTTACATTTGCTAGAGGCATGTGGATGGGCCTAGACACTCTGTCATTCTCTTGAGGGATGTGAGAGAGTGACAAGGCTCATCCCACTGATTTTTAAATATTCATTTCAGAAGAATATTTAAATGGTTTTTAAAGCATTTTTATAATCATATGTTCCTCAAAAAAAAAAGAAAAAAGAAATCCAGAAATAATTATTCAAACTCATTGTATCAGTTGCACAGGTCTATTTAACTGGCTGTTAGCAAAGAAAATAATTTGGGAACTGAAAAATTTCCTCAGACCTCTATGTTTAAAGGAGTATAACTCTGGTATGCAGCCATTTCATCCATCAGTATGTTCACACTCAGAAATGTTCATTCTCTTGTTGTAATTTATTGTTTGATACAGTTTTATTTGATTCTTTGCCATGCCCTGGGCTCTGGTTGCATGCTCTCTGCGGATCAACGAGTAGATAGGAACAAAGCAGAAAGCAGTAGTGGAAGGAGCCTGTCTCCAGCTGGCAGACATCCACACAGCCCAGGAGGGGTTCCCAGACTTTCACCAGCTGAGGTGAGGCCCTGTAATTTTAAACATACTGTGAATCTCCAAAGAAAAAGCATTTATATAGTATATTGCTTCCTGCCTATTTTTCATTCATAGAAATAAAACATTAATTTTGTTCAAGCCCCCTGAAGAATGAGGAATGTTTGGCTGTACTGCTTTAAGCCCTTTTTCACTGTTCCCTTTAAAGCTGAGCTGCAGCCCATGCCCCAGGGCCCTTGCTGAGCATGGCCAGTCATGGCCCCCTGACCAAGCACTGGAGCAGATCTGTGGCACAGATGGATCCACTTACACCACTGAATGTGGGATCCGTGCCTATAATGTGTCAGTCCGATGGAAAGAACATGCTTTCCAAGTGACAGTCCCCTAGCCCCTGGCCTCTCCCTGTGCTTTTCCGATTTGTTCTCCTTTTCTCCCTCTTCACTTGCTGGTTGTGCTTGGGGGGTAAATCATGAAGATTTAGCAGAGAAAAGAAAATAGCTGCAGAAAGTATCCAGAGTGGAAATTCAAATGATGTAGCATATTCAGATGGCAGAGGTTTGTTGACTGCAAAAAGACTTCACTGGTGGTGGTTAACTCAGATGAACTTTCCTTTACTTGCATCATTTGGGAGTTTTATTTACATTCCCAGCACCAGTTCCCTTTTGGGAAAATGGTCATACTGAGTCTCTAATGGCAGACTTTCACCTCCTCAGAGAGCTTGGGACACTCAGGGGCTCAGGAACAGCAGCTATCCCAGTGACTAAGAAGGAAAGCAAACCAAGAAGCAGCCTGAACTCCCATTGCTCTGTGTGGCAGCATCCCAAACAGTGTCAGCCGGATGCTGAGCAGGCAGCGCACGATTGGATGTAAGTGATGCATATACCTTCTGTTGACATTTTATTTGGCAGTGATTTAACGCTAGCTTTCTAATATTGCTGTTCTCCACAGGCTGCTTTCAAATGTAGGAAGAGAAGGATGGCAAAAAGATGCAAAATATGAGACAAGTAGCAAAAATATTTCTTTGCTATGGAAGCACTCACAAACAACCTTCACTGTCGGCAGCAGGAGAGTGTAGCATAACCCATTTCAAGACCAGAAAAGGAGACACACAAAACCTTTGCAGATATCAGTATTCAGCTCTCCTGAGATAAGAATTTTTTTGTCAGGTTGCAAATGGGGCATTGCCCAAGCCAGGTCATGTAGGGGCCATATGATCATGCATAACATTACAGTTGTTATATATAATACTTTCATAGTGCAATGGTTAAGAGATGGTAGAATACCTGCTGTCTACCTCTGTCTACCTGCTGTCTACTGTGAAATAGTGAAATCTTGTAATTTGGCAGCATGTTCCTTTCTGTCAGCACCAACTGTGCTTCACCCATGTCTAGCTGCAAAGAATCAGCCAGTGGTCTCATTAGAGCTCAACTCTGTAGAATAAATGAAATTGTTCTTTCTTTTGATGTTAATAACGAAGATGTGTTCAGTGGTTGTGATGCTTATAGTCCTTCAGCTACTGAAATTCTTTCCATCCAGTTCATCTTGTCCCAGTCAAACATTCAAGTTACAGCACCATGATGTATCCTGCCTCTCAGACTATCCTCCCTGCCTTTCCCACTAGGGCAAGCAGTGGGTTTTCATTCTTAGCCTCTTGCACCCTATCCCTTGTTGCTGCTTTATTTACAAGATCATTCTTAAAAAGCCAAACCACCATTAATCCCAAATTCCAGAGGTTACTGGTTTTCTTCCCATATATGAAAACAACCACCTTCACTTGTCTCTTCCAAACATTGTTTCTCATATGCATTTTTGCTGGCTTGTTGGTTGATAAGGTGAGACCCGGGAGCATGCTTTTGTTGGGTGATCTACTTGCTTCTGTTCTGCATCACCTCCTCCTGCGGTTTCACATGGAAAGAAAACTTTGCCTGGGGATGTGGTATGTTGATCTTCCCTGGGGCAGTTCTGAGGCAGAGTGATGCCTGCAGGTCACTCTGGCAGCAACGGACTGGCACCTCCAGGAACAGCTGCTTTGCACTCCTACAAAGGAGGACATACTCCTGAAGTGTTTATCTAACTGAAAAACCATTTTACAATAACTCCTCCCATACATGTCATTATCTGTGTATAAACTTCACCCCTTGGTCTCTCAAGTTGGGCAGAGCCTCAGCTTACCCTGTCCTGAGCTTTCACGAAGCAGGTCCCAGATCCTGGCCCAAAGGGCTGTGGACCTACAGACTGAACGATGATTGCAGACTTGGTCTGGTCCAGAATCCCTGTGTCCAAGGCTTTGGCCATTTACCCAAGGAAATTCTCCCTTGGTTACCTACCATTCCAGGAAGAGCTAAGAAAAGTCCAGTCCTCCTGGCCTCTGATAAAGAGCATAAAAGGAAACCATAACTCATTTACAGCCAGATCTCCCCAAATCCCCAAATTGTCGTGTTCCTTACCAAGAGGAGGGAGATGTAAACACTGAAGGTTAATTACCCTTTTGTCAAGAACACTTTGTGGTCTATAGACATATCTGTCAATCTTACAAAACAGAACTGAGGGGAGAGAGCACTGAAGGCATGTTCCTATGATAAATTAATGAGACTTGGCAGCTCACTGTGAAGAGATGATCCCTGTGCTTCCTGGGAGACAGTAACCTGGCTCCTCAGCCAGCCAGGCCACAGATTTCATACTGCAGTTGCATCCGGGATGCTTATCCCTCTGTAAACAAACTCTGAAATCCAGCTGTACAGGGATCAAACGATCTTCCTTGAGGCCTTAGCTTTCCCCTTTGCTGCTCAGCAAGCAGCAAGGACTCATCCCACCCATACTGGATCGCTTTTCTCAGCCCTGCTTGTTAGTCATTTAAAATATCTTATTTTTACCTATCAGCCTCTCTTGGCAATGACGCTCCTTGGTGGGTCACGCAGCTGTCTGAAATCCAAGGGACACAGCCACAATCCCCCTGTGGGGGGATGATGTGTGTGCTGCTAGATGACTGGTAGTTTGAAAATGTGTTCAACTATTCCCCTGGTTTATATAACCTCAAAGCAATTTGCTTTCATGGCAGAACATGCTTATTCATTCTATTTTAACTGCATTGTGCTATAAATACTGTCTCCTTGCAGATAAGAATCTATTGAATTTTATTATCTTTTTCCTACCTTTGTAAGATTTTCTCCTGACCCTAGCTTGTGAAGGAGACTTTCCCAGCCCTAGTAGTGAAGTTTCCAGGTTGATTTTCTCCTGCCAGGCAGCCATGAATGGTGTCAATCCCAGGTCAGCTTCCTTGCAGCCACCTCCTCGTTGTTCCTTCTTGGGCTGTGGCAAAGATGAACTGAGTGCTCAGTGATGCAGAGCTGAGATCACTGAAGTGTCAGGGAAACTGATTAAACCAATGATTTCCTCTGACCAGCTGCAGGTTAATATCTCTGCATTACCTCCAACCCACCTTCCTGCAGCACGTTCACTTCAAAGAGCAATAACCTGGGTCAGTGTCCAGCAAAACTGTGTTGTTTGCTGCCTCCTTTTTCTGATGCTCATTCTAGCATTTTCCTACTTTCCTATGAGTAACCTCTGCCCTGTGCAATGGAGCCCTGACCTGACATCCTCATCATCTGGAAACTTCACAGAGCTGGAGCACAGCACGAGCTGCAGGTGTGTCCTCGGAGCTGATACTGCTGAGACCCACGTCTGGTCCAGGCTGCAGCACAGCAGTGAAGTGGCCGATATTTTGGCAGCTGATTTTTCACGGCGCAGATAACTTTGTAAGTTTGAATGCTGATGCTCTTCTGGAGAGGGGTTGTGGTGCCAGAGTGCTGGGCTGCTGCAGTAGTGGAGGGACTTTGAAACCACTGAGAGCTAATAATGTCCTCAAATTTGAACAGTTTAGCATGTGGAGTTTTTAAAAAATTACTGTAATTCACTCTTTTTGTTGTACATGTTACTGGTGACCTCCTGTAAGAATGTCCTGGGAGATCTTTGTAGAGCTTACATGTGACCCTTTAGTAAAAGTTGTAGGAAAACTGAGGCTGCTCTCCTGGGTCATAGAGAAGTATTATGTTTCCTTATTCATAAAACTATTTATAGGAGAGAGCATTATAAAAGTACCATATACATAAAATAATTCAGATTGTAAGAGCTCTCAAGAGGTCTCTAGCTCAACCCGTGCTCAAAGCAAGGCCAAAGTCAAAGTCAGCTCAGATGCCCAAGGCCTTTCTTGTTCAATTTAGTTTTCAATATCACTGAGGAAGGACATGCATGGCCTCTCTGGTTCCTGTGCTTAATCATCCTCATGGCAATGAATAATTCCTCACATTAATTCAGAATTTAATCTTTTTGCGATACAGCTGTGCTAAGACTCTGACTCTGCCTTATCTATAACCCCATCAGGGAGCTGCAGAGAGCAATCTATTAGCAGATAGCCATCTACTCTCCAGGATGAAGAATCTCAGCTCCTTCAGCTTCCCTGGAAAGCCCTGTGCTCCAGTCCCTGGGCAGCCTGTTGGCCTCTGTTGGACTCGTTCCTGTGTGTCAACATCTGCCTTTGCAGTGGGGCCAAGTACATTTAATTCATTGCATAAGTAATGTGAAACCATGTTAGCCTTCACCTGCAGGGTACAAAGTTCTGCACAGGTCTTATTAGTTCAGGAAAACATCCACCGGCATTACCTGGATCAAGTTCTATTTAATAAGTTCATAAAACATGGATATGTTTTGATATCGAGATGTTTTAATCATATCAGTGACTTTATTTGCTTTATTGCTTAGTTCAAATGGGGCCTTCAGGCACTAAGAGGCAGAGCTTCCATTTGTGCTCCATTGGTTTCTCCAGGCTTGTGGCTCAATGCAAATAGTTGTTCGCCACACTGTGGCCAAGAGAAAGCCAAAGATGAAAACTACAGTCTGAACTGTGTTCTGCAGGTGGCTTGAAGTGATTAGAGGCGTTTTCATGAAAGAGCTACAACTACTTATTGTTATTTCCCACTTTTAAAAAAGCTTTTTGTTAGTTAAATAATGTGACAAAACCCAGGAGGGTTTGGAAAAGTGCATTAAATAATTTTTCATTTGTTTATCAGTGTATTATTTATGCTGAGAAGCCACATATCTGCTAAGAAAATTTTCCAGCATCAGTTTTGATTATTTTAGAGACTATGAAATTGATACTGCAAAAAATTGTGATGGAAAATGTAAAACAAGAAATTACTTAAGTGAGAGAGGATGTTGTATAATTGCCAAACCCTGCCCTGGTGTCAGCCCACAGACCCTGTGGTGCTCAGGACCATAACAAGTGGTACATGGAGATGTGGCACTGCCTTTGCTTACTTGCAGATCACAGAATCATAGAATTTTTTGGGTTGGAAGAGACCTTAAAGATCATCTTGTTCCAACCCTTCTGCCATGGGCAGGGACATCTTCCACTATCCCAGGTTGCTCCAAGCCCTGTCCAACCTGGCCTTGAACACTTCCAGGGATGAGGCAGCCACAGCTGCTCTGGGCAGCCTGTGCCAGGGCCTCACCATCCTTACAGGGAAGAATTTCTTCCTAATACCTGATCTAAATTGACCCTCCTTCACCTTAAAACCATTTCCCCTTGTTAAAAGTCCATCTTTAGCTCTTGTAGGATCTCTGTCCTTGTGCTGGCTGCTGCACACAGGAGGATTTTCCTTTAGCCAAATGGTCATTAGCCAGATGCTGCATCTGACTTTGAGGATTAGAAGACCATAATGAAGTGGATTACAGCATGTGATCAGTGGCAGGATTGCAGATCAAATCCTCTTTCTAGCTATTCTTCCAGGAGTAGCTAGGAGCTGAGCAACCTGTCCTACAGCATGAGCTTACACAGCTGTGGGATTTTTCCATGCTGTTTTCAGAGGTGAGATAATCTGGAGCTGTAAATCTGGAGGCTGTGGATGTTATCTGGTTAAAGGCTGTGCATGTATCTGAAACCTGGTGATTTCTGGGTGTTACTTTTGTGACTTGTCTGGGGGATACCTGAATAGTTCATGGGGGACTGGTGTTCCCCAGTCACCACTTAATTGTCACTGACTTGAGTCTCCCTAGATTTTCTGTAGATGAGAGAGTGAAGAAATGGATCTGCTGAACATCTGAGGCACTGTGGTGGTCAGAGGAAATCTGTGCTGCTCAGGGCCAGTAAGTGCCAAACCCAGTGCTGAACCCAGCAGTTGCAGTGGAAAATTTTTCTTTGATGTATGCAGGCAACACACGCCAACCTGTGGCAGGAATGTGCTCTCCACCCATCAGGAGAGAGGTTGGTGCTGCCTAGAGGACAACACTGTCCAGGGCAGGCAGCAGCATTGAGCACCATGTAGGAGGAAACCTGTCAAAAGTTTCCAGGTTGGGGCTGGGAAGTCCAGTGAGAATGATTCACAGAGGTCTTGCTGCCTGGCTAGAGAAGGCAGTGGCAAAATTCATATTTAACCCAGAAAGATGGACCCTCTTCCAACTGTGCAGAGCCTATATGGGTGTTCTGATGAAGGCAGCAAGGTTGGCATGTGACAGCGTGCTCCTGCACACACTCAGGGAAAAGTATTTGGCTTCCAGACACCATCCCCAAGACACATCAGGGCAATACATCTTGAAGATGTGCCAAATCTGTCTGAAATATTCATGTATGCTCCCTGTAATTTATGGAAACAATCACAGCAGCATAATTATTTTGATGCTTCTCCCTGTGAAGAATCTCTTAGGTAAAAATGTAATCTTTGTATCAACACAGCCATGCTGCAGCCTTCTGAGCATGCCAGTGCCAGCATAGGTGATTCCATACACTGTACAGTATATCCATCTAAGGATCAAAATATACCCTTTAGACTACTGTGATGTATCAGACACGAACATATTTGCTTGGGCTGAATTTCAATGATTTCAGCTAAATTCCATTTGTCTGATGGGTGGTACCTTGTGCCTACCCTAGGCACAGTGATTAGCTCCCACCACCAAAAAACCCCCCAGGTATTCTTGACATTTTGGACCCGTGAAAGGCATGAGGAACTCAGGTTACAGGCAGAACCCACTCCTGCAAAATTACAGCTACTAGAACAGCAGAGGTGCAGACCTCCTCCTAGGAAGGAGCAATTTGGAGATGGCACAAAGGCTGCTGGTGAGAGACAGACAGGAAAATTGGGACAGCTTTTATATTTTAAGTATCATTTTCTAAAATATCTGCAAGAGGAAAGGACCTACTGTACTTTCAAGTGTAGCTGGTGCTATGTAAATAGGTTCCCATACCTTCAGTGTCTTTTGTTCTTCAGATGGCTTGGCGGAACACTGAGTTGGTCGGTGTGTTTAACTGGGACTGGGTCTGTAAATAAGTGCTCCCTGCTGGTAAGGTTCAAGTGACATTTTTAGTGACAGATTTTTAACCTGCTTTCAAGTCTTCTACTGAGCTCTTCTATACCCAGGCAGTGAAACTGTCAAGAAGCCTTTGCTTTAGTCAAACCAGTGCTAAATACCATTGGCTTCAGGTTAGACACAGTACTGCTAAACTTGCCTGACAAAGCTCAACCAGTTCTGCTGATGGGAAAGCCACACCTGACCTGTGTTTGTATCTAGTGGTGAATATGTGGGGAAAAAAAGCCACACAAAACCAGAAAGGAAAGCAGAGACTTGGCCTGATCTGCAAACAGGATGATACTGCATCCTGCCTAAGCTGCTCCCTGAAGGGAGATGTTGCTCTGTGAGAGACAAATGAAGGGCCTACTGTTTACTCTCCTCAATATTTTGTGCTCCTTATATTTCTACTAGAATCCTTAAGAGGTTCCTTTTGTACAAAGGACTGTTTGTTTGGTTTTGACCACTGGGACCTTGTGATACTTGTCTTGAGCTATTAACCAGGTGTCCAGCCAAAATCAATTGCCCAGCAGACGCAGACCATTACCTGAACAGTCAAGACCTCAATAAATATTACCAGCCTCATTGTACTGGTGACAGATTCTGCTGTTGTTTTATGTTACAGTTGAACAGTTTAGACATTGCATTTGTATATATTTGCAGTCAGCCTTGAAGAGACCATCTTGTGAGCAGCACAGGAGCTCAGCCTGCAGATTCAAGACACTTCCACCATGACTGCAGTGGGTGTTTTCGTGCTCCTCTCCTTCGCGCTTTGCTGCGTCCCAGGTAAGTAACTCTTAAGGTGCCACAGAAGCTTCGTGTCTGATTCCTGTCTGTCTTTAAAAGCATAAGATAGTGGCTTCAAAGAGAGAAAATCTTCTCCTTCAGAGCACTCGGCTGCCTTGGTGCATTGGTATTGTGCAGGATGCAGGAGCATATTTCGGGACAGTCCTCAAAGGCTCATGGCTGTAGCTGGTTGTCTGTCATAAATACAAATAACTGCAAGTGGAGTTCTGTGCTGGCAACTAGTGCTGTTACACTTTTTATACCGATGTTTTAACACCCTTACACTGCTTAGACTTGTTGTACAATTACAGCAAATGGATCAATACTTGAAATAAGGCCATAAGAAGAGGGTCAGACCTCCAGTAACTAGTTGTGAAAATATTGTAATGTCATAGGCAAGTTCTTTGCAGGACCCTGGCAAATTTCCTGCAATACTTTTTCTGCTAATAGAACAACAAGAGGTGAAAACAAGCCAGAGTCTGATGTTCTCATTGCTTATTTACAACTGATGAAATCACAGAGCCAAAGACATTTTTTTTTCACACTTGGCTTCTTTAAAATGCATATTTCTGACAATGGGTGCTGTATGTATTTGCTTATCCTGCAGGTGACTATTTGCATTTGTCTATATTGATTCAGGTGTATTTTCAAATACGTAACGGCAGCTCTTTAGGGTCAAAACGGATATGTGAAAAGATAAGGAAGGAAAAGTTCTTCTATTTTCAATTAGTAAGTCTACCTATCTCAAAACAGAAAAGAACAAAGCTATTGAAAATGTGTTTCATCACAGGCAGCAATAAGCAATGCTATTATACTTATCAACATAGAGAAAAAAATCATACATAATTTATTTAGTTCAAAACCCAATCACTGGAAATCATTCAGCTTGGCCCTGTGTATAGGAATTTTACACCTGTATTTCCAGCTTTAACTGACGTCTTATCATATTGGCTTTGTTTCATGCTTTCTGCCTCTCTTTTCCAGATGCTGCCTTTGGGATTGAGGTGAGTAGAAGAATTCTTTCTGTCACTTTTCTCAAGTATGTGGCCTGGTAAAGACATAACAAAAGGAATGGGAAAAACCTCCAGCCCGTAGATGTTCTGCTGTTTTTTGCCTAGTGTGACACTGGTGTCATTGTAATCAGATTCTACAGTGTAAAACATTAAATTTTACTGCTCTTGGCTTTACATCTATGCTGTATGTTAATAATGTTTTAGTAATAATGATACAAAATTTTTTGATTAATTAATTTTTCAGCAACTTTAGACTGGTCTAAGCTTTAATCTGGTCATATATAACTGGTTTTAAACTGATAGCAATAGACTGGTATCAGAACCAATGTGAGGGCAACCTAGTGAAAGACTAAAATACTGTGAGCTGCTCCAGCTTCCATGCACCAGGTCATTAGTCTTGGTCCTCTGAAAAAAAACATTATCAGGGTACTGAGAATGAAAGAGTAAAAACAGAAGTGCACTGGAGGGGCCACAGGAATAGGAGAACAAGGGACCAGTGGAGAGCCTTTATAAAACGATGCCAAGTGAACATGAGAGACCACCACTGATTTACCCCATCCAAGGGGCTGCATGGCTATAGCCCTCTCCTCCTCCTCCTCTCCTGCTCTGTGGGAAGGTCCCTGCAGGAAGGATTCACCTGTTCCCAGACTGACCCACCAGCACAAGTTTTTGCTGTGGTAGTGAAAACTGGTTGTACTTGGTCACTGTCTCATACAAAATGAGGGTTGTGAATGTCAAATGACTTCTCCACCTTGTTGCTGTACGTTCCCTTGGCAGGTGGACTGCAGCACATATCCCAACACTACAAACGAGGAAGGCAAAGAAGTGTTGGTGTGCAGCGAGGCCGTCAGCCCCATCTGTGGTTCTGATGGAGTCACCTACGGCAACGAGTGCCTGCTCTGTGCCTACAACAAGTATGTACTGCATGGGAGATCTCAGGCAGCGATGCTTAGGGCTCCTGGCAGCACCACTTTTCAATAGTCAGTGACCTATCTTGTCAGTTGTGTCAGTTCCTTCAAAATGAGTTTGGCTATCACTTTGTGGTGCTCTGGTGCTTAGACTTTGCTTTAGTCACTGTGTCTCTCTTTTGCTTGTGTAATTTATTCAGGTTTTTCTTCTCCAGCTCAAGGATCAGCCAGATGACAGCTCTGAGAGCACATCTCATCACAGCTGAAGGATGGAGAGATGCTCTGCTCTGAGTTGTCCAAAATGGTCATAAAGCTCCCAGGGTTTTACATCCCTGCCAGCCACTCAGTTGCTTAGGGAGAATGGCACTACCTTCTCAAAAATACATATATGAACCTAACTGAGAAAGAGTCAGTTTTCCCTTGCATTAGTTACATATTTCCAGCACCTAGGATGTAGTGATGTCTTTGCTGAACTTCTAACATTTGTCTTTCCTTCTCCAGAGAATACGGAACCAATGTCAGCAAAGACCACGATGGAGAATGCAAGGAAGTTGTCCCTGTAAGTGAAACCAAGGGCAAAACAAGGGGCATGTCCTGCTTCTGAGTGCCCAAAGCTGCTTATGGAGTTCCCAAAGATGTAACTCAAACTCTAAACAAGAGCACATATGAGATGTCAGAATCTTGCAATGGCCATCTGCAAGTGGACTTTCATAGTGGCACACAAAAAAAGCCTTTTTCCTGCTGTGGTGGTATCCTGCGTGGCCAGACAGAAACACTCACCAGATCTACTTGCTTCCTTTAAGCAAGTCTTCAGCAGTGTGCTGTTGTGTGTTCCCTCGACAGGTGGACTGCAGTAGGTACCCCAACACAACAAGTGAGGAAGGCAAAGTGGTGCTGCTCTGCAACAAAGACCTCAACCCCATCTGTGGTACCGACTGGGTCACCTACGACAACGAGTGCCTGCTGTGTGCCCGTAACCTGTGAGTACTGTGTGTGCTCAGGCTTAGTGCTCCTGGCAACTGCTCTTCTGAGTATCAGCACTTCTACCAAGGCCTTTTCTGTAAGGTGCTCGGACTCTGACCCTCCTCTTTCCCTCATAACAAGACCTTGTTTTCCTTTGTGATTAGAAGGAAAACTGCCTTTAATCTAGAAGGAGAAGTAGAGGGCTGAGGGGGGATCAAACACAGGACAGAATGCTTCTCTGAGGTAAGTTATAAGGATCTGTGTGACAGACGCTGCCTTGCAGAGGACAACAACTAACCTAAGGGGCATCCATATTCCACACAACCTCTTTCCTCATCCACTGTAACGCTCTGGACTCTCTCTTGTCCTTCGCATTATGCCGTAAAACAACATTCTGGCAAGCAGTGACACCACCTGAGCTGGTGTCTAGAGCCATGTGGACACATGATAAGCAGGATGTCTCCTATATCCCAAACATTATACCTCAGACTGACCAGCATTGCTGGGACATGGGATTCAGCAGAACAGGTTGCTTGTAGAGCTCCCTAACGCAGTTCTCTTCCCTTTCCAGAGAGGCTGGAACCAGTGTTGGCAAGAAGAATGACGGTGAATGTAAGAAGGAAATTGTCGCAGTAAGTGAATTGTGTGATGAGGGACTGGGTTTTGGTCCTGCTGTTGTCAGAGGAAGCACTGCCAGTGTCTGCAGCAGCCCCCAGACCAGCAGGGTCCTGCAGGAGTGTAACTGCTGCTGTGCTTCAGCACAGGGAAGATTTTATTTTCTCCACATATAATACCCATTATTCATGTGAACACCAGAATAGAGAGCAGGTGACTGCTCAGGAAGGGATCAGTGAAAGAATAGTAGCAGAAATAATCCATTAGGGAAGAACTGAGGAGTCTTAAAACTTCCTGTTTTAAGACTACAGGAGGGATACTGGACCTTTATAGAGGAATCAGCACCTACACTTCTCCAGAAGCTTCACCAATTTTTTTCCATTTAATTTCCTGGACAGCTTGGGAACACAGTGCAATATGATTATAGGCATGGTGCCTTTGCCAAGTGAACTTCTGCTGCTTAGAAATGCTGTGATCAGGTTATGATATACATCTCTTCAAACAGGATATTATGATCTATTTTTATATTATTAAATTCTCCTGGCATAGGAGAAACTGACACCACAGTTTATATCAGATGTGCGAGGAAGTTAATTACTTTTAGTTAGATCATTATCATCAGCACTGCAGCTGTAGCTCAGGGTTCAAGCCCTTCTGCTATTGACTCCTTCACATCAGACTCTTATTTTTACTTTTATTTTTATTTTGCAGGTTGACTGCAGTGACTACCCTAAACCTGTCTGCTCACTTGACTACATGCCTCTCTGTGGCTCGGACAACACAACATACAACAATAAGTGTAACTTCTGCAACGCAGTCGTGTATGTACAAACATGAATCACATTTGTGTTATCATTTGCCTCCTATGGGTTCAAGTTTGCACAGTTGCCGCCTTCTTGTTTGCTGGATAGTGTTGATTAGGGATTTGGAGCAGGAGAGAATGCCAGCCACCGTGCCAACCATTCTTTTTTTTTTTTTCATTAGAGCATACAAAGAGCTGTGTCTGCTTTGTTAGCATGAATGGTTTGAAGGCTATTTAACTTTAATGGAATTTTTCTTGCATGTTACAAAAGAAATTACTTTTGAAATTTCACTATAGTTTCCCCCCAAATATTTTCAGTCTTAAGAATGGGTTAAATTGTTTTGCTCATCTCTTAATAATCAAATAGCTAATGGAATTCTGACTGTGTGAGTTCCTTGGCTCTGGGGCAGGATCCCATCTGACACCATCTCTAGGAGCTAAGCTGTCTGATTCATTTTTATTTCTCCTGGCTTTCAGGGACAGCAATGGGACTATCACTTTAAGCCATTTTGGAAAATGCTGAGTATCAGTGCTGAGAGAATTCATCACAGGATCCCCACCGGCAAATCCCAGCTAAAGATCTCACCTCAGTTCATCTCACCCTCTGGGGAACTCAGCTCACTTCTGATTTTCTTTCTCAATAAACTAAATCAGCAACATTTCTTTGTCTTGTTTCATGTGTTGTCTCATGAAACATTTGCTTCTGATCTGTTGAATGATGATGCCAGGCAGAATAGGTTATGTGCTCATAGCTCTGGGATATAACAAGAGCAACATCTTGCTCCCCTCCCTCTCATAAAAGGCAGAAAATTAAATACAGATGCAGAAACCCCAGAGCTGTGTGTCTTTGCACATAAGTGATAGTTGGCCTGCATTAGTGTTCAGACCCTTTAGGTGTTTGACATTGTAAAGGGCTGGAGCAGTGACACAGGTATTCCTGGTGCATTTTCCCTGTGCAAGCAGCATCAGCAAAACCTGGTCAGACTGTGGTGTCTGTGCCCAGAGCTGTTCCCTGGATTCCTCAGCACCATCCTCATCTGAAGTGTAGCACTCTACAAGGATAGTCTATGGGCAAAGCCCATATTTTTCAGACACGTGCATGGTCCCAGTCTATTTGTCTAGGTCCTCCAAATGACTTACTACTAGGTTTTTATCATCTTGAAATCATCCTTTAGCAACCTTCAAGTGTTTTAAGATAAATGCCTTCCTAGGGATGGTGCCTACTCCTGCCCACTTGTCTTCTCTCTTAGTCTTTAATAACACAAGGCTCTTTGCCAGCCCAAGAAGTATTTCGGCAGTGTTTCACAATCCAAGGACAAAGTATCCTTCTGTTTTTTGAGAGTGTGACCTGTCATTGGCATATTGTCCATGAAATTTATTTTGCTTTTGTCCTCTGTTTGAGTATTGAATTGGTGGTTTTTTGATCCACACAAGAGTAACATAAATAAATTGGACATATCCCTTCTAAAATATAATATCTCCCACATGCATTTCTTCTGGGAGTCTGCTTGCTCTCCTTGATGGAATGAGGTCATCCCAAAAAGCGGTGCTTTGGTGGTACAACAAAGGATTTATGCTGAGATGGGCAGATGGATGAAGCAGCGATTTCCAGATTGGGTTCAACTTTTCTGGGATCCATGCTAGGGCCTCACATCATTCTGTCATCATCATACTAAAAGCTTATTACTGCAATGCTAATGGATTTTAAGGGAAATAACAATTGTAAATTTGCATAATCCCATAAAAGTTGCTCCATTCCTTGTCCTTTCCAAGTACTCCTTTCAGTGTCTGTGACACACTCTTGCTTGCCTTCCCAGTTCATTGTTTTCCTGGTTTCACTATAACTTAATGACGCTTTACTGTGGTGAAGCACAAAAATAAAAGGAGAGACTTTCTGCTACAGAAGCATTTCATTCAATGTTTTTCTCTTGAAAAAACACCTTACATAAATAGGCACTGATACGTGCACACAGAGAAAATCTGACAGCAGTTGCTGCTCAGGTTTGTACTGTCGCTCTTTTGCCTGCAGGAACTTTCTACGATCCTTCAGAAGGAAACTGTCACATATTTCACTTACAATAGCGACACAGAGGGTGTATCTAACACATCCAAACTTCTTGTGACTCCCGTTGATGAAGAAACATCCTTCTTGGCTTACAGCACGGCTTCCCTCTATCGGGATTGCCACTGCAACAAAAGACTGGGAATGTTATTCCAGAATAAGGGTGGATAAGGCAGATATGAACATGCACAAACACGCGCAAGCACACACACACCCAACCGTGCGGGCGGGAATATAAGCGCGGTTACCAGCTGAGGGCAGAATCAGGGCTGTGTTTACTGAGCAAAAGCCAAGCGCTGCTGCTCACAGACGCTCCAGCCATCATGAAGGTGACCAGTGTGTTGCTGCTGATCGCTCTGGCCCTTTGCTGCATCTCAGGTGAGTTGCTCCACTGCCTCCTGCTCTGCCTTTGAGTAAGCGCTGGCTGTCTTTAGAACCACAAAAAAACATCCCCAGACTGGAAAGAGCTTCATTCTGCAAGGACTTATTTACTCCTAGAAAGATAGTGTTGAAAAGACTTGACATCAAAGACTATCACTTATGGGGTAATATTTTAGCAACAGAACTGAGTGGGTAAGAACAACTGTGGGAACAGCTCTACTCTCAGTGCTAGTTTATGCATAATGAAAGAAGTGACATGTACGTGGTACAACCCAGAGAGTCAGACATCCAGTATTTAACCTCTGAAATGTCGCAGAAACACAAATGATTTTACTGAATGAAAATGAATATTTCCTGTAGTCATCCTGAACCGAGATGCAATTTGAGAGCCTGAACTGCTGTAGAAGCTTTATAAATTTACATCTCACTAAATACTCCTCTTGTTTAACAGTGGCAATGCATATAAGATGCTGCCTCTGTGTACTTGTCAGCTTTACGACCCTGCTTGCCTCAGTAACTTGCTTTGCTTTGAGTACATGTCCTGCTCCATCTTTTGAACCATAGAAACTGTCTTTCTCTTCTTTCATTTTCCATACCTTTTTCCATCTTGACTGAAACTCTCTTTAAAAAAAACAAAACAATACTACAGAATCAACATAGAGTAGGGCACAAAATTTTGCCTGAAATTCCTTTTGTCTAAGAAGCAATTTGCTAACACACAGTGAATTGGAAGTTGTGTATTCAGGGCATTAATTCACAGATTTTAACTCCAACAGAATTAATGAATTACATTTGTAACATATTTCCTTTTTTCTTCTTTTTTTCCCAGCTACTGGTGCAGTGCAGGTAAGGGACAGATTTTTCTACTTTTGATCCTTTATTTCCTTAAAGGAGTTTTTGTATGAGTCCTTACTAATCACATTGTGACTGAGCCTTTGAAAATCCTGAGACATCCAGCTGTCTGAAGAGTATTTGCCATAGATATTGTTGGGTGAAATTGTCATTTTCATCTGATGACAGTTTTAACAAGTAGGGCGATATCCAGTTCATGTCCCACTTATTGTCAAAGTTACTGCAGCATCATTTACAGTGGTTACTCAGGCTCTACCTGGTGGGAGGCAACATATTACTGTATCCTGCCCTATCCCTGGGCTTTTTCTCAGCATCTGTTTCTGGACAATAAGTGGCGAGCTCAGGGCGTGTGTGGGGTCTCCTAACGTCACCTTTCTTGCATATCTTTGGTTGAGAGCTTTTTTTTTATTATGAATACAGTTTGCAGCCCAGTACTGCAATAACCAGCTGGCATCCAGAAACTTCTGCACCATGGAGTACATGCCACACTGCGGGTCTAACGGAGTCACATACGGCAACAAATGCTTATTCTGCAATGCATACGCGTACGTATGAAATCAGTCTCTTCACTAACTAAATTAACTTAGCTCGAACTAGCAAATCAGATTTGGAGACTGGTTGGAGAAGTAAAGTTCTTTTATTTTGTTTACCTGTTATTTCACCAGCAAGGTTTGTTTGTTTGTTTGTTTGTTTGTTTGTTTTTTTTAATTGGGAGAGTCTGCCAGGAACTGTTTTCTTACAGATATAAAGAGATAGCATAGAGTTCTCCATTTCCCTCTTAAGTGACTTGCTGAAGAGCCTTCTTCCAGCAAAAAAAGTCAATTTCCTACAGACTATTTGTCCTTTTAAATTAAGAATTTATCTTGTCTTTGTATGTTAATAATAAAAGAAAATAGATGGAATATAGTTCAGAAGTTCCTCTGTGGTGTCGAGGAGAGACAGACCAACAGTAAAAGCTCAGATGTTCCATCTCTGAGCTACTGATTTCCTTCTCTGCAGGAGAAGCCGTCGGACTCTTGAACTGAGGTCTATGAGTGCCTGTTGAGTTCTCAACAGCCTTCATCCGAGAAAGAGGATCTCTCCCTGGCAATGTTCCCCATGGCAGATGATTTCCTAAAGTCTTGACCTGACCCTTGAAAGCTTCTGATAAACCTTGAAACCTCTGCTTAATAAAAAAAAAAGCCATCAACATTTATGTCTTGCCTTAGTCTCATTCTGGTTTTACCTAAGATGTTGCATGATTATAATGCTGCAACAGTCCTGGGGTGTGGAAATTAATGGGGAAATTATTCCAGGGAGAGGGAGTACAATGTTCTGATCTACAAAAAAATCAATCCCAACTGCAAAGGCAATGGGTAGATCTTGTGGACATCAGCCTTCATCCAGCTTTCCGAAAGAAAACCAGGGCTGGAGATGCATCCTGCTGCTCCTGTCAATTTACTCCACGGAGGGTATCACAGACAGCATCTCTGCCTGGGTGAGAGGATTGGCCTCCCTCCACAGCTGCTTCTGTCAAATACCTGCAGCCTCACCCAGCATTACTGTTTCGCAGACTGGCAGCATAAAGAGGCCCCAGGTGAACCTCAGTGTTCACATAACTAAAGGCAGTCCCAAGATTGTTGCAGATGGGGTGTTTTGGGGTTGTTTTGCAAAAGCCATGGTGGCAAAGAGGGTCTTGCTGGCACCATGAGCTGCTCATCCTTGTTTCAGTTTTCCAGGGTTATTCCCAATTTCTTATGCCCACAAGAGAAGAGGCAAAGAAGGTGAGATTCCAAACTGCCTCTCTTCCCCTCGCAGGCAGGACTAGAAACCCACCTTTTTCAACCTGCTTTGCTTCCCAAAGCAATGGCACAGGATGTTTTCTCTGGGCAAGCAGGATACCTTGCTGCCCATGTTCGTGTCTGTAATGTTCATTGCTGTGGGGTATTGCAGAAAACCAGTGGGCAGCCAGTCCTAACACACTTGATGCTCAGAGTACTGCTAACAATCACTGCCATTCCAGCACCTCACCCATCAATGAGCTGCTGCTTGTACGTAGTGACGTCAACTGCCACTTGTAGAGGATCCTTTGAGATTCTTCGGCCTCTGGAAATCTCGGCTGATGAAAGAAAGGTCTCAGAGTCACAGTGTTAATTTATTATTCATTAAAAGTGAGGCGCTGGCAGTGCCTCGTGCTATACAGGCAGCAAGTCTCATAGTCAAATACTTAATGATCTTAAGTGACAATGTGTCACTTCCCAGAGACTGGAGAGAGCACTCTCTAAAAGGAGACAATTTATTTCCAAAAGACATGACTCTCTGCAACCATTTAGTGCCAAGTCCCTTCCTGAGGCTGGAATATCCCTTCTGTGAGAGGGGAGTCTGTGTGCAGGAAGGCATTTCAATGTCAGATGTGATCTCTGAGGACCAAGGTAAATTGAGGCTCTGGGAGGTAGTGCCAGGGGTGTGGGGCTCGTGGGGTTCATGCTCCTTCTTCTCCCTCTCCACAGAGTGTGGGAATCGGGGTAAGAAAACACCAGCTCCAGCACTTATTTTCTCTCCTGGGGAGCAGCAGAGAGGATGAGGATGGCCCTCAGGAACCATGATGCCTTGAAGACAAGAAGAGCTCCTGATCGTGCTGAAGATCCCTGTGATCCTCAGAGGGCATCTTCCAGGGGCCCTGTCTGCTAAACAGGAAAATCCATCAGGAGATTGAGGGGAAACTGTGAGTAGAAAGGAACCGGGACAGATCCTCCTCCCTGATGCAGAGCTAGCAGTGTTGCTCAGGCGTAACAAAGGGCAGAGCAGGACCCCAGTTGGCACTCCTGGCCTCCCGCCCCAGTAGGCTCATCCTCCCATCCTGCTCCGTAGGACAGAGAGAAAGAAAGTCCTCTTTTATGGGCAACTTGTTGGAAATAATATTTTTTACTGCTTCTCAATAAAATCCTGCCACAACAGCACAAAATCCTCTCACCATTACTAATCTAACTCTCCCTCCAGGAAATTCAAGTCAGGAAACATTGTCTGCCTGCCGAGGTATCTTATGGTACAATTCTCTAAGCAGTATTCTCGGCACTTCATGTCATTATCTGTTGTTTGTGAATGTAGGAAATGCCATTCAATTACCTCACAATCTGATTAACACATTGCATGTACTTTTTTCTTTCTGTTTTATTTTATTATTCTACTTGTTACTGGCCAAAATATACCTCAGGCCAGTCTAGACCTTTCTGTTAATGCAGTTTCTCTCTGAGGCTTCATGCAGGATAAATGGTTTGTTATTATGCTCTTTCTTGATGAGGAGAAAAATAAAACTATATTTTAAAAGGAAGTTAATTGTGGACGTCATTTTAGGGGACTGTCTGTGTCAGAGCTATTGCAGCGAGGCAGAGCTAAGATTTACTGCAGGACTGGGATCCTCAGCCTTTTGCTATTAGCATGCAGCTTCCAGACAGTTAAATTATTCCAGACACTCTTGCCTATGATATCATCTATTCTTAAAAGACTGGAGATATGCAGGCAGCAATCAGATGGCTGAACTACACGGAGAAATATTAGGTGAGTGCGGCTTAGAGCAGGGGGTTTGCTGGCTGTAAATTGAATTTATGTCCTGATAGAAGATCCAGCTCTGCCCCCGTGTGCAGAGGTCTGGGAACAGCAACATGTCTGGGAGCTCTTCCAATGTTCCACATCGCCAGTCAACCGCAGAGGAACGCGGTTTGCGCTGGTTTCTACAGCAGCACAGGCTCGAGCGTGGTACCGCTTTGTTCTCGATTACGGTGTGACAGCAGGGCACCGGAGCAAGGACAATGATACCTCAGCAGGAATAACAACACGTGGACTTGTATGCACACATCCACCTTTTTTTTTTTTTAAAAAAAAAAAGGGGTATCATTGCTCTTTGTAGCCAGATGAAGCCTGTGACAAGTTTTAAACTAAAGCAGGGAACATCAATGAAGAATTCTGTAGGTCTTGGTTGACTATGGACTTGCTTGAGATAGGGAATCTCAAGACAAGAGCAGAAGCTTCCCTGGAGAATACCACTGCTATGGGAAGAAATACTTCTAGATTAGAACATGGGTAGAATTTCCAGAATTATTGGAAATTTACCTTAATACAAGAGAACCCATCATATCACTGCCAACATTTACCCCATTCATGTGGCCATAACCATCTTGAATGTTTGCCCTCTAAGAACCTAAAACAGCAGGAAGAGTTTTATTTCAGCTTTTCTATGGATATCATATCTGTAGAAATGCTAAAATAATCCTATGGTGAAAACCACTTTACTGAGCCCACTGTCATGATATTCCTGAAACTCAGAATCACAGAATCTCGAAATGACTGAATAGTTTAGGTTGGAAGGGACCCCTGGAGTTCATCCAATCCAACTCCTCTGTCAAGGTAGGGTCATCTGGAGCAGGCGACACAGGAACTCATCCAGGGGGGTTTTGAATGTCTCCAGAGAGAGAGACTCCACAACCTCCCACATATCTGTTCCAGTGCTCTGCCACCATCAGTGTAAAGAAGTTCTTTCTCATATTGAGGTGAAACTTGTGTTTTAAGTTTAAGGCCATTACTCCTTGTCCTGTAGCTGGGCATCACTGAAAAGAGTCTGGCACCTTCACACACATCACAGAGGGGTTTGGGTAGGTGGATGCACTCTGCCCTTCCCATTTGCAACACGTGTATCACATTTCCTGAGGCTCACTGTCTGGGAACAGTTGTTTTTGACTGTTCCTAATGTCTGTTTTCAGCCCATCTTCTTCCCCACAATTATTCCTGTCCTGTTCCTTCTGTTTCCTATTAATGTTGCTCCTTGTGCAATCTCTGTTATATCTGCCCCAGCAGCTCTCCCAGCCCTGCCCTGGCTGCTGTCCATTATCTCCTATCCCTTCCCACAGACCCTGTAGCAGGGCTCCTTATTTGCTTCTCCTTTTCTCCCTGCTGCCCCGTGAAGTGGCAGGAGTTATGGGAGGAGAACTGCTTTTGGAGCAGTCCTGGCTGGCCTCTCAGACCCTCAGAAGCCGCATGGGGATCAGAGGGGATCTTCACAGGGGATCTTCCCAGCGGATCTAGCTAATGAAAGGGCGGGTGTTGGGCAAACATGAGAGCAGTGCCACTCCCTGGCAGATACCTGCCATGTGTGATTTCAGTCTTGCAGGAGAGGAAACAGAAGCATCACAGCTTCTGCTAGCTGAGGATCTCTGATCTGGAGGTGAGTATGGAGAAGCTCAGGCTGCAGGGCTGAAGAGGAGACAGACTCTGTTCCTGTAGCCTCCCCAGCCACCACAGATCTGGCAAGCACCACATCCACCAGCAGCTGGTGCAAGTTGTGAGGAAGCTTTGTTTTCAGGTTTTGGCATTCCTGCCCCTGGAAAATAATAATTATTAATGCTTCCGTGACTAATGCTTCCTTTCCAAATATGCTCACAATCAGCTCAAGGAATCTGAAAGTCAACTCACTCAGGATACTAAGAATGCAACAGAAACAACTTTCAAAGGAACCCTTCAACTTGTGATATTTGTGAATGAGATCCAAATAGCATTATTCATTTATTTTTCAGGAAAATGATTTCATTGATATAATCAGGCCAAATCCCACAAGCTCTATTCTGTGACTACAATTCCCTTACACTTTCAGCTATGTTTTTATGATTTATCTGCTCATGCCAAGTGTTGAACATCTCCCAGGATAATAAGAAAACCAATTCTGATTTTCTATTTAAAACTCAGGCTGCCTTTAAGCCACATGTATGAATCAAACCTCTTCTAAAGCACAAACAAGTTCCATCCGTCACTTCCTTCCATGACTACCTTAAATCAAAAATTTATTATTTCATGCAATATCCCTTATTTGTTTTTCCATACACCTGTGATAGAGTTGAACCACTTAGCAGAGCCTAGCACATTATTTATCACTTATCTTCCCTAAAACATGACTTTCAGCTGACACTCTAAATTTAATGCCATATAATTGTGGGGGAAGGGGGGAGCCTAACGGCTCGCCTTCTGTTTGCAGCTACTGGAAATTTTTCTGGAATGTCTTTGGTATTAAGAAGCCCGTGTCACCTGCACAGAATACCACTTGCTTGCCATTAATAGGAAACCTTATCCCAGTACAGATTTAAGGGTACTTATTCTCATAATTTCTTAATCAGACTAATGCCCATTGCCAAAAGATTAATAATTCTTACTCCTTCATAGAATTGTCTTATAAACTTCTGAGGTTTTAGGTAATGCTTTCCTCTTCTGATGACTGTTTTCTTCCTGTTGGTGAGAAATCCAGTGTACCAGAAAATTACAGCAGAGAGTGTGGAGAGATTCACTGAGCCTTCAGAACCTTTTAAGTACACTGATGTCTGCCAAACCCCAGAGTTGATGTCTGTAAAAGCTCAGAGTGTCCCATGATGCTGTTCCCTCACTCTGCTGTACCATGAAAGTGTCCTGGCACCCCATTCCTGTCTAGCACGTGTGATATGGTGTGTGCAGGGCAAACACTTCCAACAAATGGGCTTTTTTTTCTTCCCCAACTTCCATACGTAATTTCACAACATCCACTATTGAGACAGTGCTCCTGTTTGCAAAGTACAAATCACTCGTTGTACAGCAGGGTGCCTTTGTTAACAAGCTGGGTGTAGCTCAAATTTTTGTTTAATTCTTCTGGGCATCTCTCTAACAAGCAAGTATTCTTTAGAGCTCAACTCAATAATCAATACAATTTTCTTAGTTTACAGAGCAAATAATTACTTTCTGTGATGACTTCACAAGGTCGGGGAGATGTATATATATAGTGGGGACAGAGGAGGCTGAGAACCATCCCCAAACTCACCGGCTACAGACTCTCCAGTAGCAGCCGTTACAGCATCGCCGACATGAAGATGGCAAGTAGCATTGCCCTTCTTGGGCTGGTCCTTGGCTGCCTTTCTGGTAAGTCATTTTTGCTACAGTCTATGCTGGCATCTCTAGTCCTCCCAATCCTCTGCATGTCTATATACATCCTTAAGGAGAGTGCAGCCTTTTGGGGATGTGATGATTTAGGAATATGCAGGCTCTCTTTTAATGAACGTCACCCTTATGCAGATAAACATTATAGATCGGTAGGATCTATGTCTGCTTTAAGTTTATGAGCCTTAGTGGGGATAATAGTGACAAAAAAAAAGGAGAATATTTTATGTCCTGTTTCTTCTTTAGTGAGTCAAAATTCCTGGTTTCACAAATAATTGAGTTTTTTAATCTCAGTATATAACTTCTCATTTACTTAGAGTAGATAAAACATTCAGGAAAACAATCACTTCTCAATAATGAGAAAGTGTATTTGGTTACTCTGTAGGGAATTTGATGATTCCAAAGAACTTTAGTCAAGGACATTGTACAATTTTTATATTTTATAATCTCTGTTTTTATTGCAGATCTTGCTGTTGCTCAACGACGGGTGAGTAGTAGAATTGCTTGTGATTTAGTCTTGATTTCTAAGTCTAGATCAATAATTCATACTCACACTGCATTCCAGGGAAGGCTTGAGGAAAAAAAAAATTAAAAATGGAGAGCAAATAAAAAGAAGTGCCCCTAAGTGCATCTCTTCTCCCCAACATAAGAAAATACCTTTGTCAGAGAAAGATAACTTACCATGTTGATGATTAAAAAGACAGCGATTAATAATGTAGAGTGCCAGTCAGCACAGCACAGAGTGCCAGCAGAAAATCTATATGACTATTGAATAACTGCCTAAATATCTTCCCTGTCTTCATTCCCCAAGGAATGATCATTTTTGCCTGTAATTCTCACCAAAAGTACTTTAAGTCTTATTAGCAAAAAGGTGCTTTCATATGCTGTAAGATACATGGTGTATTTTGTTCTCTCTCCTCTTCACCTTGGAGGAATCATAGAGAAAAAAATAACCATCAGTAGCCTCCCAACGCAGCAAAAACATGATTAGCACAAGCTAATCATAGCCTTCTCTCCACCTGGAGACATTACAATTCCTCTTTCTCAGGCCTCCTGCAGCACATACCTGTCTGGAATATCTGGAAAAACCATGACTATTGCCTGTCCCCGCAACTATAGCCCTGTCTGTGGAACCAACGACCGAACCTACCCCAATGAGTGCTCCCTCTGCAAGGATTTCGTGTGAGTAGAAGGTCTCCCAATCACCTACAATGCCAGTTCAAGCAGCAGGCAGAAGCCCTTGGTGTTGTGACTAATCGTGGGGTGGACTAGATTTTTCTTAAGTTTCTGTCTTCCCTAATGCTCATGATCTTCCGTGTCAAAGCTCCAGAATCTGATTAATTACTGGGGCTTTACGAGTCAAGAGACTTGATGATTGAGATGACTACATGGTATGAAGAGATTAATCTTTCCTTTCCTTCTCTCTTTCTCCCTCTAGCCGTAACCGTGCCCTTGACAAGAAACACGATGGAAGATGCGTTAAGGTACGGTCTGAGAACGGTTCCTTCTCCTGCTGCTCTGAGCAGCGGTGGGTGAAATTACGGCAGAGATCTAGACACAAACCTTGCCTAGGATTAATTCTGTACTGAACCCACACAATTTCTTACTGTCAGAAATCGAATGAAAATGAAGAATTTCAAATTTGCAAGTTTTTAATTTACATTTTATTTGAACTGTTAAAATCAGTGACTTTTAAAGTGCAAAATATCTTCTGTATAACACCAGACTTTAGAAATGGAACTTTTGATTTTGAGAATGTTTCGTTCAGCATTATGAAAACACTTCTTTTCAGATTTAGACTTAGAGGCTTCTTGAAGTTAAGAAATTCCCAGAGGAAGTTTGGATTTTGACTGAATCATAATTTTGTAACAGAAAAAATGATTCTATTGGAGTATCTATCATAAAGTTTGTTTATCAATATATGGAGTTACCATGAAGTGGCATAGCATGTCTATTTTTAGTTTAGAGAGAGAGAGAGTAAAGAAACACTCTGGCTGTGCAATTTAACATAATACAATGACTTCCATTTCAACACACTCAGAGGGATTGCAGAAACAGTGAGCTGAGTGTAAACTCTATTTTCAAGGGGCATTGGTATATCACAGCAGAAGTTGCTGCTGCATAAGGTATTTTAGGCAAAGATCCTTCACAGTGGCCTTCAGGGTGAAAATCCCCAAGATGACAGCGATGAAGCCCACTTCAAGACAGATACTCCCTGCTACATCCACATGCAGGATTTTTCATCTATGCTCCTCCAACTCCACCACACTGGGGCTGGAGAACCCTGTCCCCTTGAGGCTCTGGAGAAAAGGGGGAGTTGTCTCTTGCGCCATGCTCCATTACACAGGGGTGATGCCAAGGGGAGTAGAGATTAAAATGTGGTTCTGTGGTTGTTTCAGGTCGACTGTACTGGTCACCTGAAGCCCGGCAATGGTCTGACCATCCCCTGCACCCAGGATTACTCTCCCATCTGTGGCACCAATGGTGTTACCTACAGAAACAAGTGCCTCTTCTGTAGAGCTGTGGCGTAAGTGAAGGGCCTGGGTTGTGGGACAGCTTTCTGGATCGGTAGCTGCTCCTCTTGGTATTTGGAGCATAACAAGGTAGTTTGACTCATGAAGCAGCTGCACTGTGCTCATTCATTCTCAACTCTCTTTCTTTCCAAAGGAGCGGACTGGAAGTGAATCTGCAGAGTTATGGACAGTGCTACCAGCAGGTAAAGCTCAGAAATCTGCGCTCTTTGCTGCTGTCACCTTTTGCAACACAAATTCACTGATTCATAACTAAATAACAGAAATGCCTGCACTGTCCTGGTGCATTTGGTCTGGAAATAGGATTTGAGGAAAGTAGTTAGAGGATGTTGGGGTCAATAGGTACTGAACCAAATCCGCGGTTCAGATACGTGGTCCCCTCTCTGACCTTGGAACACAACACGCAGTGGGTGCTGAGACCTTCATTTACTGGGAAACTGGATGAGCAAGAGATGCTGTGTCATCCTGTCTGTGGGAGAGCAGGAGGGTCCTGTACTACCAGCCTTTATTAGTAGTGGTGATTTCCCAGGTTGGAGTACTTGCTGCAGTGGGGCTTGTGACCACCTCCTTTCTGTTCACTTGTCCCCGCTTGCCTGATGAACCAGGGCAGGCAGTGGGAGAGCCAGCCTGGAAATATCAGCATGGTCATTTCACTACTTATAATAGTATTTATTAGATATTTTTGCCTCTGACATCTCCCTACTTCAGGCATTTCCAGGCAAGAACATTCTTTGCCTCTGAGTTTGCAGAATTGCTGGAACAACAGAGCCCTGCTCCTGAAAAGTGCTTTTATGCTTTGCTATATCATGAATATTAAATAAACATAAAGCACTTATGTAGGAAGATACAGGGAACAAAAGCTTTAAAACCTGTTTTTTGCTCCATTATTAGCCACAGTACATTGACTGCACCCAGCAGAAGGGCAACAACATCTGCACCTCCGAGTACAACCCCATTTGCGGTTCCGATGGCAGAACTTATGCAAACAAGTGCCTGTTCTGCAGCGCAGTTAAGTAAGTACAGAGCTCACCGTGTGGCCATGAAACCAGAGCAGCTGGAGCCCACACACAGTGGTGGCAGCTGGTGTGGAAGCCCCAGAGCTCCCATTAGCTCCTTGATAAATCCATCCCTGCCCCGTGTTCCTCTCCCAATACTCACTCCTGTGTCACCCCCTAGGCACTGCAGATCTTAAGCCTGAGTGAGTCTTCTCCTTCCCTTGCAATTAAAATCAGATTCCCGCTTGCAGGCTCATAGCATTGCTGAGTCCCTCCCGGTCAGGGTAATTGAAACTGTGACAGCAGGAGGTGTCCAAAATTATGGGATTTGTCCCAAATCTCTCTAACATATGAAAGTGTGTAACCCGGGGTATCAGAGAAGAGACGAAACACTGAGTGAAGTACTTAATAAGCTGGAGAGCACAAGGGCATTTGGCTTATTTGGGTGAAGTTAGGCCATGAAAATGAGATCCATGTTTGTAACTTTGGTCTCTCTTTTCAGCCGCGGCCGTGCAAATCTGGTCGTCCGCCACCAGGGCGAGTGCTAAGCGCTGGAGCTGGACCCTTCATCATGACTTCTCCCTTGCAAATTCGGCAATCAAACACGCTCTTCCTTGCTCCCTCGATTGTTATGCATTGGTCTCTGCTTTGATCGATCAATAAACTAAATGCAGCCACAATCTTTGCCATGGAATGTTTGGTTTTGGTTCTATTTTCATGGTGTTCAGGCTTTTGGGTACATATCTGTCAGGCAGGAGAAGTTGTGGAATAAACCACAATAAAGAGCAAAACTTAATGCACATCACACACTCACCCAAGCCCTCACGAGAGAATGTCACTCTGTAGCAAACCATCAGAAGAGAAACCAGGCTACAAAGTAGTGCCACTTTCCTAATTTTGATGTCTTATAGAGTGCAAATGGATTTGTCCTTGTTACAGTTCTGAGACTGGGAGGAACGGATCCTTTTAGGGGCCTTGACATAGGGGGATGGCCCTGAGAAGGTGTGAAAGGTGGCCCTAGTCAGCCCTACCTGGTCTCACCTGGGCAAGGGGCGGGTCTGGGGGTGCATTATAAAAAGGAGGATTATGTCAAAGGGAGGGAAGAAAATTAGGAACTGCTGCTTCCTTGAAGGGTGTGTCCACCGAGACTGTGCTCATCAGCAGAAAATTGCAGCAAGCTACGCAAGGCTGTAATGAGCCTAATGAGAACCTGAGGAGAAATTAGACTGGGCTCAGGCTTTCAGCTTCTTGAAGAAGAAAACTGAAAAGCTGTATTGGGGGTATTTGAGGCAGAGATAAGGCAGGGGACCCTTTGGAAAAAGGTCTTGGATTTTCTAACTCCAGGAAAGAAGGGCCAGCAGACGTGTTAGTAGCTCCAACATATTTTCTATCTTGGGAAAAAAGGTATGGAGATAACATCTTTGTGGGAGCCTAAAGAATGCACTGGAGGAGCAGTGATACATATGAATGTTCACGATGATGTGCCATGTTTTTGGGTGAGTCAAGGAGTTAATATGCAAACAGCACAGGCAAAAATTCCCAAGTGCCATGGCTCACACATTCCCTTCCTCATCCTTTCTCCACCTCCCATTCTCTTGTTATGTAAAAAAATAGCTCTTGCTAAGGCTGATATTTAGGACAAAATCTGTGACTTCTAAGCCTTTTCTTTTCATCTTGTTTCCTGAAGAAGATAATTTCTTGACAAGGATTTTTGTAGATAAAGATAAGAGGTTCATTCTTCCCCTAGAACCAGCCCAGAGCAGCGCTTCTAGGAAGAGTAATGAAACTTCTTATTTTCAGGTGGTTTTGTATTAGTACAGGCAGTATAAATCACATCATGGCTTTATGACTGCTCTTAATAAAAGACAGACTGAAGAGTCATATGAGTCCTCACTGTTTACCTGCTTGTGTGTCTGAAGAATAGTTAAGGAACAATACCTGGTGGATGTGAACAGACACCTGTCAACACAGGACAGAGCTTGGCTATGATTTCTTGTTGGACAAGAAGGTTTATAGAGTGGCCACAGACTAGTGGAGTTTTGGCTATAGAAGGAAATTGTTTTCAATGGCGAGGTCCTACAGTGAAGCTCCTCTGTGGTGGTAGTTTCTGCCTGAGGATTCCAGATACTTTCTTAGGAGCTCAGAAGGCTTTGGAAAAGCCCAAAGAGCAGCTCACCTGCAGCAAAAGGGAGGGCAAATGGTGAATATGTGATTGTATTCCAGATGCCTCACAAGCCTATAAGCAAGGACTTTCTAGAATATGGAAAGGTTTGTAGTATTTAAGTCTAAAGACTGGCCCAGCACAGGTTAGTACTCAGCTTGACACCAGCAAGACTTTGCCCAACTAACCCTTAGGATGCAAAACAAGGTCCAGGTGCCCTTCTTCTATCCCAGATTGTCAGAGGGACAGAATTCCCTCACCTACACTGGCAACTGGACTGTTCAGATGTTATAAAGAAGTGGAAATGGGTAATAACAATAATCATCTGCTTGGTAATTTAGTCTTTTCCCCTCCTCAGCCCGGAAGGGGTTGGTCCCTGCAGTGCATTTGCTGAGGCTTTAGCCAGTCAGTTGTGCTGCAGCAACTGAAATGTTTGGGCAGATAAGGGGCTGAGGCATTAAGGCTGTGGTCATGAACAGTGACGTATGAAACTAGAAAAGGCAAACAGGTAGTGCTGCGAGTGGCAGAACCGAGCGTGGTTTTGAACGGCGCTGTGGCTGACAGACTTGATAACTAAATTATATGAGAGGCTGTGTTGTGAGCTCACACTTAATAGATATCTGAGGATTCACCTGTCAGTCATGGTTTCTCTGTCGTGTGGATTTTCAGATGTCTAGCAAGTTGAGAACTGTAATGCTTCCCCAGATATAGGGCATCCATAACATTGCTTTCTCACAGAAACTCCTTCCCTTGCTGGCTTGGGATGTTAATAGCATCTTTCCTCTGTTGCTAAAAAATGTATGAAAATGTCTTTATTATTTTTAATTTTTTTCATTCCTGTGTAAAATTTAGTTGGCACTAGTGGATTAAAAATTTGCTGGGGGAACCAATAAAGAGATATATCTATACACATCGCTGTCCTAAGCTTTGTCTCCATGGGAAAGCATACTAACATTTAAGCTTATTCTTATCTGAAGAGGTGTTTGGCGAATGGTGCAGCTGAACATAAATCCTTGCACAGCCTCAGCTGGAAATAGAGCTCAGATTTCCCTATTCCCCATCAGATTCCCTTCATTGCCACTTGCTGTGGGAGCAGAGCCCTAACATATGTTTGGGAATGTGAAAAACTGGAAAACATTGACAGCTAGAGTTTAAATAGTTCAGGGAGGAGAGTCAGCAGTCATATCTGGGACTGTGCACGCAGCGATGAGAGCATGTCACATCTGAGTGCTTCTCCACCCCAACTCAACAAATTTAGAACCATCCTCAAAAATAGCCAGGGAACAACGTATAATTGGTTTCACAGACAACACATTCTCATGCTGTGACTTATTTCGTAACGTCTAGTGAGTGTCATCACGCTGCACTCAAAGGCTCGGAACTGGCATTCAGCAAGGGCCCAGAGAATGAAAATTACCAGCTTCCCCTATGAATCACTGCTTTGAAAATTCACCCTTGTGAGAATCCTGTGACTATTTGGAAAAAAAAATAATTATATTACAAACCTGCCTATCACTCATATAATTATCCCTTTCTAGGTTTGATGTGGACAGGGCAGCATTCCTTAAAGCACAATAAACTGGCCAGGACCAATAATGGCTTTAGAAACCAAGTGGAGAAGTTCTCACAATTAAGGTGGGGAATGAGGACAGCTATGGACAGGCACATAAATACACAGAAGGGCAGGTCTGTGTGCACACTGTGGGCTCCGGGGCTGAGACGACACCTCCCGCTCCGATCACTGGGCTTGGACTAAAGAGCTCCCTGCAGCATGAAGGCAACAGGTGCCTTAGTGCTTCTCAGCCTGCTGCTGCTCTCTTTCTTCTCTGGTAAGTGATCTTTTCCCTAGCCTAGGAAAGAAAAAACACCCAAAACCTCTCCTGACAACAAACTTCGGAGAGCCTTGATCACTGGCTGACAGGCTTGAAGATAAAGCTGAGCAAGTAGAAAATATCTGCGGAACTTGCTCACTCATATGACATATTTCCACTCCTTGTGTGCCTCCACAGTGAATAACGCAGCGGAGGTGTCACTGGGAGACAGAACAAGCAAATTCTGAGCATCTCTTCAGCAAATGTACCAAAGCAGAGTGTAATTATGAGTTTTTGGTATGAATGTTCGCTGGAGAGTTTTGCTGAACCAGTTAGAGAAGAACTCACTCACCTCAGGGTCATCTGCTCTTGTTTTGATTCTAAGCATCTTGGTACTTGGTGTTTTCCTTGGAGATGTGGAGACGTAATTAGATGAAAGTTTCAGCATTCGTTGATGTTGCAGAGAAAAGCTTGAAAATTAAATTCAAATGTCCTCAAGGAGTCAGAACAAAGAGGGCAAATTAAAAGGATTCAGCAACTATTTATCTGGAGATTTACACATCTCTCTGATGATGCGGGGAAGCTGAGTGATGATTTTTGAACATATAGACCATGTCAGTGTTATCACTTGCTTGAGTCCAGCTGACCCAGGTCTGCAAGGTTTGTGGCAACAGATATTGAAGAATGTGTGGAACAAGAATTATTTATACTTGTTTTTCTGCGAATAATTTGAATAAAGAATTCACTTGAGAAAATGGCAAGCTGTGCATGGAGAAAAGAGGTGAATTGCTTTGTACACATTATTCATTATGAAATATTCATCTGTCCCTAATTGAGTCTTAATTGGGACAGGGTTTTGTCAGAAGGCTTAAGCTTCCTTCCAAGGCCAGGCAGAATAGCAGCAAACTCTGTGATCTCCTGTAAAATAAACAGATGTCAAGAGGCATCATCACAAAGTCTTCTGTAGCTGCATGTAATATTTATAAGACCTATCTAATGAGCTGTTTTGTAAATAATATGCAGATAGCCACACCAATGCCTTTACCATTAAGGCAGCCTGGCCAAACCTGAGGACAGGGTAAATGTGCCAGCACCAGGGATAAAACAATAAAGGGCAAAAATAGTAGGGGAGGTTGATGGATGATGTTTGAGCTGACTGAGGGCTGAGTGGGATTTCCATTGGGGAGGGTGGAGTGTAGGACAAGGCCCTCCTACCTCCTGTCCCAAGCTCCCTCCTGCCCCGGGCCACCAGAGCAGCATCGCAGTGACCCCACTGACCCAGCAAGTACAGCCTCAAATCCGAACCTCTGCTGCTGTGGGAGATGCTGGGAATTTGTCTCACAGTGCTGTGACCCAGATTCTGTGAATCTGCATTCAAGCCACCCTCGAGTGTCAGGCTCCCCCTCAGAAACATGGCAGGGTTGCCCCATTTCACAGCTCTGACTCAACCTAAACACCTGACTGCAGGCTTTGCTGGGAAGAAATATAAAGAGGATGGACTGATCAGCTCCAAGCTCGGAGCCTGTGGTTACAGAGGGTGTTTTTGTGCTCGTACTGACCGACAGTGCCTGTTCTG